ATCGTTCAAAATTAATATTTTATAATTTTCCGTTCCGCTTTTCCGCTCAAAATCTGCTCCATGTAATATAAAGCAATCAAAACAGACGGAACGGAACGCGGGAATCTAATTACTATTCTCTTCCGCGTTTCCGCGTTTCCGCGCTCCATGTAATGGCACCCTCAAAGAAGCAATGGGAAGTAAGCATTTCCGAAGTGACGAAGAGGTGAAAACCGCGGTGCACGACTGGCTACAGACACGACCAAAAGATTTCTTTCAACGTGGTATCTATGTACTTCCAAAGCGTTGGAAAACTTGTATTGAACGTCAGGGAGACTATGTAGAAAAATGATATGTATAAGTTGTTCCTAATTGTTACAATAAAAAAATTATTGCACTTTTAAGGTTTTCATTTGAATCCCCCTCGTAGCAATGTAGCGGTGCAATATTTTTGGAATAATTTGTTGTTGTTATACATAAGCAGAGAATTTACTAATTACATATGCATCCGGGCCTTTTTCAATACACAGCAAGCTATTGCGAAGCAACCTATAGGAGATTATGCCGCTTCGCAATAGATGGAGATTGCGAGCAACACCGCACTGATCAGGTACTTAATAATTCGCGCATTATTGGCATCAACGAAAATAACATTATAAAATTCTCGTAATTAGAAAATTTTTTAAATAGAAAATATAGTATTTTTAGTATTTTTGAAACATTGCTGCAATATTGCTATCGAAAGTTTGCAATTTTATATCCCTGCAATGTCTCTGCAAGATTGCAACGTTTCTGCAATGTAACTGCAACCATCTACGCTGTATGGGAAACTGTATATATTTGTCACATATGTATTGTATGTTACTATCGATATCTTTTAACAATTTTTTAATTTTCAATGCAATATTTCTAAAGATTAAACAAAGTTCTTTCCAAAGTGTTTAATTATTCGATAGTTTGATTTTATACAACGTTACGGAAATTTGCTCCAATGTATCAATGTAGGTATTTATTCGTTAACACTACGAATTTTTCAATGTCACGCCGACTTTGCACCAACACGCGTACAAAAATCCTGTGATTGGTCATTATAGAAGCATGTCGGATGCGCAGTACGGATCGGCGCACACGTGAAACAAAAGAACGAGTGCCCCTACTGGTTATACTGTGGTCTTTATGGGAAAACTGTACGCTTTCCCGTCAAACCTGTACGTTGATTGGATAATCGCGCGTCGCGTTGTCTGCTAGAGCCACTAAATTAAAATGTTGAAATAAAGCTCCCGAGAGAGAGAGAGAGAGTGAGAACAATCAAAGCCGATACAAGTAGTCTCTTTACACAGCTCGCGAGCACAATTCGTCTCTCCAGCCAATCAGCTGGCGAAATTGAAGGCGCCTAAATACTCCGCGGTTTGAACAACGTACCAATCAACTGGGGGGAAGGTCGAGGGAGCTGTCATCGAGAGGAGCAACTGGGCGCGCGCGCGATGTCCAGGACACCCTCTAGATTCAACCGCAGCCCGATTCGACCCGGAACTCCCGGAAGAACGGCTGACTCGAGGTGCGCGTACACCACGCGGCGCTCTCGCCAAGGACCCGCTCCGAAAGGAAAGCCACGGCACGGCGTCTCCGATCGCGCGACGCACAGCACCTCCGCACGCACACGGCACGGCACGGCACGGCACGCCAGTGTCACGCACTCGCGCGCAACGCACCCCGCACACACGCGACGCGACGGTATTCACGCGCGCACGCGCGCGCGCGCGCCACGACGGTAGGCACCCACAGCGGTGCGCGACGGTGCGCGCGGTTACAACGTCCGAGATTGTGTTGGTGATTAATCAAAAAAAGGCCGTTCGCGAAAATGGCCGATGGACGCGAGCCACGGTTGTTTTCCACGCGGAGCCTCTACCAGTTGTGCGTGGCCGCGGTGGTCGACAGGTTCAGCACCTACAAGCCGTACCTCGTCGATCTACCCAAGAGCGTGCGGTTCGATATCTACTATCAGGTACTTAAGGGCACGTCAAGCTGTCGTCGTCGTCGTCGTCCCCGACGGCGACGGACACGGGAGGGGAAGAGGAGGGGGGAGGAGCGAGCGAGCGAGTCGATCGCGAGCGCAATGACAGTCGCGCTTGTCCCCCGCAGCTCGTTCCCGTCCCGTCACCCTCGACGGCACGGGACAGGACGGCGCGGGCATTGTTCTCGATCGCGCGACCGCGATAGCGACGGCGACGCGCGGTCCGCGCTCCCGCGGCTCCTCGCCGGGGATCTGGCCGTCCTCGGCGCTCGGCTCTCGCGGTCCCTCCACTACGAGTTGTTATCGCCCCGTCCGCGCTTTAACGGCAACGTCACCAGTCCTGATGGGTCTGAATCTCTTTCAGCTGTACAGAGAGAGGAGACTATGTATATTGGGGACGGAATTGAGCAATCTGGAGACTTTCTCCAAGATGCTCAAGGTCACCAATCGCCGACTGCACCTCCTGAGAATATTCCAGGTGAGCATGCGTCGCGTGCGCAGGTCCGCGGGAGCGACTCGAGCCGGACTCGGATCAACTTGGTCGGCGATCAGTTCCGCTGAAATATATTCGCCTGGAGCGGATAAGATTGCAATCTCGGCTTCTAGCCCGGCCTCTCTTTCCATATGTTAAACGGGGATCAGTTCTAGCCGCGTACCAAGGCTGTGTGTTCGGGAAACGTCGCCCGAGTGCCTTGGTGTATCATTTTATCTCTGCTCGCCAAATGGTAAACAAGGATAAAATGATACGCCGGGGTACTCGAGTGACGTTTTCGAACGTAGCTCAAGTACGCTTTGCACAGCGTCTATTGTTAGTGTCTGCCTGAAAATGCGCATGTATTTATATGTCAGTAATCAAACATCGTGTGGTTTGACAAGCTGATCCCAGACGCGTTGATCCGATGACTCCGATTCTGGTCGATGACACTCCGAAAGACCCGCCACCCATCGCACTTTTGTCTCGCCGATCGAGACGACACTTTGTACTGTTTCGTACTTCCATAATCGAAGGCCCCGATGGATCATAAGATAAAGATATCACGGCAGCTGGTCATCAGTTACAACATGTGCTACTTTCAAGCGAAAGACAGTCCCTCGCCTCAGGACAAACTGATAAATCTAGGCTTGAGACTCGGCGGGTTTCTCAGTGACGCCGGCTGGTACTCTGAGAGCAAGGAGGTGCTGTTCTCCTGCAAGCAACTATGTCTGGCTCACAATCAGAGCCCCAAGGATTGGTGCAGAACGTTGGATTGTTGTCACAAGTAAGAGCGTCGACATACGTTTTAGTTGACGTCACTACGTTTCCAGTTGACATCGGGGTATCAAGATACAGCTGTATTTCGCGCCGGGAGTCCCGACTCTTGGTTTCCTTCGAAAGAAAAATCCTACAGATAAGTTGCGGGTTGATTGGCTATTTGTATTGTCCTTCAGCCAATCGACCTGCAACCTTTCGGCAAGAGCAGAATCTTCGCATGCGTTTCTCTTTCGAATGAATTCAAGAGTCGAGCCTCCGACTTGTGCACACGTGTATCTGTACACGAGTTATCTAGTTGACATTCTTAATCTAGGTCCAGACATGTTTCGTATCGCATTGCGATTGCGTGCCGTGAACGGCCAAGTGTGGACAGGGTACCGTATTGTCTACGCACCTGCCCCATACAGCACACATGGTTGCAGTTACATTGCAGAAACGTCGCAATCTTGCAGATTGCAGTGCAATCTTGCAGAGACATTGCAGGGATATAAAATTACAAGCTTTCGATAGCAATATTGCAGCAATGTTTAAAAAATAATGAAAATACTATATTTTCTATTTAAAAAATTTTTCTAATTACGAGAATTTTACAATGTTATTTTCGTTGATACCAATAACGCGCGAATTATTAAGTACCTGATCAGTGCGGTGTCGCTCGCAATCTCCATCTATTGCGAAGCGACATAATCTTCTTGGGTTGCTTCGCAATAGCTTGCTGTGTATTGAAAAAAGCCCGGATGCATATGTTATTAGTAAATTCTCTGCTTATGTACAACAACGACAAATTATTCCAAAAATATTGCACCGCAACATTGCTATAATGTTGCACTGCAATCTCTCTGAGGGCGGGCATTTCAACGTTGCTGCAATCCTCCAGCAATGTTGCTGCAATATTGCAATCTTGCAATGTAACATTTCTGCTATCTTCCTGCAATCTTTCTGTGCTGTGTGAGTGTCTATCAAGATACATACCCGTACAGCACAAAACTTGCAGTTACATTGCAATAACATTGCTACAATATTGCAACATTGCTGTAATGTAGCTGCAATGTAACTGCAAGGTTTGTGCTGTATGGGTAGATACGATCGTGATCCATTTGAAGTCGGTATTTCGTCAAAACGCCAAAGAAGATCATCAATATGGACATCCCTGTTTAAAATATTAGATAGAATATGATCAAATTACATTGCATTAAGACTTATTTATTTACATTGAAATTGCATGTAATCCGATTATATTATTATTTTAAACAGGAACGTTATTCTCTCCCGATCCTGCCTTGATCTGACAACACAGTACAAGCTCATCGTGACTTTGTCGGTCATATTGTTTCGCATCTAGCGATCGCTTCGTGTCTGCTATTGTGGCGTGATCACGAGAACAAATGATTGAACTTGTAGATTTGTATAAGAAAGCATTCTTTGGAATCTAACGAATCTTGCATCATTAAAATCAATATCGACATAGATACAATATTGACAACTACAACGAAGTGTTGATTTCTGTGTACCACCTACAGCACTTGGTTCTCAAGCAGCCCGTTACCCGCCTTCTTTTATCATTGAAATCGCCCAAAGAGAAATGATGCATAATAGGAAATCGCGCGTGACATCGGACAATCGATCCGAGACGGACGTGCCGAATGGAAAACTAACCGATACGACACATGTTTAGACCAGCTTTGGACGGCTATCTTAGTCACCCAATTTGGACCGAATAGATTTCTAGCGTCGTAGCTTCGTCGATTAAAAGAATTGTATGTCTTGTTGGCACATTTTAGGCTGTTACATGCCCAAGCGGCGTACTGCGACTTCGCCGGAGCTAAGGAGACTTACATCCTTGCCATGGAGATGATAGAAAAGTTAAAGAGCAAGCAGTACAATAATAGCAATCACGCTGCCCTTTTTGCAGAGTTCAGTGTACTATACTATATACGCAGTGAATACAACGAAGCTTACAGGTGCACGCTTACCTAATATTTGCTTTCCCGAGCTCTTTCGCCAACTCTTGGCTCTTTAATCGATTTCTTATAAACCATTGGGACGAGAGTCGAAGTCGAAAAAGACTACGGCCGGATCTTACATTCAGGACCGTCTTGAATTTATCTAAAGATACTGTACGGAACATTGTATTGGCTGCGGAGCATCTAAAGATGATCTCAAGACAGTCTTGAATGTAAGATCTGACTATGTTGATTCCCACTTGTGTCCATTTCTACCAGTCTAGTTTTAAAAAAGGTGAAAATTTAAATTAATCTACATTGGTAGACATGGACACTGACGTAGCTGTTTATTCTCTCCTCATGTTTTATACATGTGTACTAATACTATCCACCATCTAGATGGAGCATAGAAGCGTTAAGGCAATTGAAACCGTCGCTTCCCGCGGGGATCATCGTCGACGTCCTGAGACAGGCGGCGAAGTCGTGCGTGGTGAAGCGAGAGTTCCAGAAAGCTGGTTTACTGATCAAGGAGGCCGTATACCTCGCGAGGGAAGTATTCGATACGGATCATCCAAAGTATAGCGATGTTCTCATCGATTACGGATTTTTCTTACTAAACTTCGATAGCATCAGCAATAGTGTAACTGTATACAAGGTACTTGTTCCTAGACATCTCATTTCTCTCCGCAATCTCCCGTGTGCAGACAATTATAAAAACTGTTCTGTCTTGTGCTTCAGACTGCGTTAGATATTAGAAGAACGATTTTCGGCAGGACTAATCTTCATGTTGCCCTGGCACACGAAGACTTAGCTTACGCTCTCTACGTACACGAATATAGCTCTGGCAGATTTGACGATGCAAGGTAATCGATTGGAATTGCATCTCGCTTGTGTGTTGTACGGTGCGATTAACTCTTGTTTTGCAGCGATCACGCTGGAGTAGCTATAGATATCATGGAGAGACATTTACCCCCGAATCATTTGATGCTCGCAAGTGCTAGGAGAATAAAGGCACTTATCCTTGAAGAGATCGCTATAGATAACGCTTCCACGCCATTGTCGGAGCAGAATCTCTTGCTAAAGTCCGAGTGTCTTCACCTGTCTGCTTTGGAGATGTCGAAAACCGCGTTTGGCGAAAGGAACGTACAAACGGCAAAGCACTACGGGAACTTGGGCCGCTTATACCAGAGTATGAGGAAGTTTCAGGTATCTCGCTGCAGAAGATAAAGACCGATATATCCGTTTGCACGCTGTATTTAATTATTTCTCGTGTGTTTAATGCGCTCTAGGAAGCGGAAGCGATGCATCTGAAAGCTATTGATATTAAAGAAGAATTATTAGGACTTGATGATTACGAAGTAGGTTTGAGTATAGGGCATTTAGCTTCGTTATACAATTTCCATATGAACCGGTACAGAGATGCCGAAAAGCTTTACCATCGTAGTATCGCAATCAGTAAGTATATGTATATGTGCGTTTGTTTTTTTATTGCGTCCATCATGACACGAAGCGTTATTATATTTCGCAAAATTTCGTTCTCGACAGGCTTGAAGTTATTCGGAAAAGGTTATAGTGGTTTAGAATACGATTATCGAGGACTTTTACATGTGTACAATAAGTTAGACGATTACGAAAAGATATCGGAGTACACGGACATATTGAATCATTGGAAGGAGCTTAGAGACAAACACGCTCAATCTGAGGAACCACCGATCGATGTACAAAAACGTCCACAGCCAATCGCAAACGTAATGAATGTGTTCTTTTCCATGTGATATATCAATAAGTGTGTCTAATTCAAATTTTATGTCATTGTATGTTATCGAGCAACTTGCTGATTAAAAGACATTTTTGGGCCAAAGTAGGAAAAAGGAAAAAAAACAGTTGTAACTCGCATTAGGAATTTTTAAATCACTGATCTGGTCGTACGAGTAAATAATTCTGTCTTACGTTGATATTTTACAACACGTGCGTAGCGTCACTATCACAAAGAGTTAATTTATATATCAATGCGGTATCAGTTCAAATTTATGCAAAATATTAATTTATAAATTATTTTTATTAGTCACGATGCTGCAATATAAACATTGAGGGCTTTTTTTTTAGCTTGAGTTGCCGTGCTTGTGTTGAATTATATTAGACTCAATGTTTATCCATTCGTTTTATCTCGATGTATTGAAAATTCTTACGTATAAAAAATATATCTTTTTTAAATATTTTGTATTTATATATATATATATATCATTTTAATATAAATTTGCCAATGTTTTAATCTGATGTGTATATATGTTTTATACTTTACGATTCGCTATTCGTTGACGGCTCCAATTTTTAAAGAGAGTTGCTCAGGTTTTCATATAAAATATATATTTTGTTTTGTTACGATTGCTTATCGAACGCATTTATAATATGTTTAATTCACTGTTCATCTCAAGATTACAATGATCGTAGGTTCTCACGCATCGCATAATTTTTAAGTAACAAAAAAAATATTCGAAATACATGCGCCTGTGTTTATAACAGTAATGTAGTTAAAGAGATAGGTATTAAAGCTATTAAAACTCGGTGAACAATTTGTTGAACGGATGCCTTGCTGTATGAAGTTACCTTCTCACCTCGTAAAATCTGACGTCTAAATTTAAAAATACATCCTAGATACATCCTAAAAACTTTTTGTTAAGCATTTTGTTCCTGTATGAATATCATAATGGATATAAATAACTAAAAACTATACACGCGCGCGTGTCCCTCAACTGCACTAGAGATATTTCGATAAATTTTTCAAATTCTCATCACTTATTTACAAGAGTTTTTGCAGATTTATATCATTTCAACCTTAAAAATTCATTCAGGCACTTTGGATGTTTATCGAACGATAAGCTAGTACTCATTCACTGTAAACTTGTATAATTGAATAGATAGTAAAGCCTCTTTGACAAATTCAAACAATATGACGGTAACAGGCACTCAAGGTATAGTTGATGATGTATAATCTATTTATAGCGTATACTTTTTAAATTGATTTCTGGGGATCTAAATAGATTACACGCTGTCAGCTGCACCTCGAGCTCTTATTGCCCTCGCATTGTCATTACATCATTAATGATTGTATTAAAGCTAGTGGTCATAACATAAATAACTGTACATTCTATTTTTCATCAACAGTTAAAAGTATCAATTTAATTGCTTCTCTTTTACATAAAAAAACAAAGATACGGGAAAAACTTAGTAAACAAAAAAAACGTTTTCGTCGAAAAATTATCCGTTTCTCTTTTCACTGGCTTGCAAAATTTTTAACTGAACATCCGAGAATTTGTAATTAAATGAAGATAAGACAATGTAATATAAATACTCACGATCCTTCTGAATAACTCACATACACTCAAAAGCTTTAATCTGTTTAAATTACAGTAACCATTAGGTAGTACATAACTTTATATTTACACGATATCTCTTGTATCACTCCGGTTCTCAGGTAATAGGAATCTTATCTAAATTCCATCTTTACGCTATCAACATTTCTAATTCTCTCGCTCTCGCACTCTCACTCTCTCTCTCACTCTCTCACTCTACAAAAAAAGGGAGAGTCATCGTTAGTCACCTTGTGATCGGTATACTTTTGAGACATACTAATCAGCACATTACCGAACTGATATTGCACATCTCGTTAAATTGCGTTAGAATCCCATAACTTTAGAACATTTAATCAGGTGTATGCGGAGGTTCTTGGCTGAAGTATGGTGCGGTATCTTGCACTAATAAAGTATGACAAACATCACAGACTCTGGATGGTCTTTGTTTCGGCCCACTATTCACGACGTGCGAGAGGCAAGATTGACAAAATATATGGCCACAGTGACGGCAATGTACCTGCACGATGTTAAACCTCTTTAATTCCGTTTCTTTTTCTCTTTTTTTTTCTTATGTGGAGCGTAGCAACAATTTGCCTCGCGCCTCTTCAACTTACCTTCTTTTTGGTGACTGAGAACGCTGTATGGCAACTAGGACATTCTTCGACATCCTCTTCGTGTTGCCATCTCACTTCACTACCTGCCTGCCTAATCCTTTCCAGTTGCACCTGTGAAAACGATGTTATTTTGTAAACATATCACAGTTCTACTCGTAGTTTACAGCTATCTTTTATCTACAGATTTTTGCAACAATTTCAAATCGACTTAATATCTCAACAACTTTGAGTTCACTTGTTTATTTTGTTCCTATTACCTGTAATGATTGTGATAATCTAACAAAGTCTTTCTGCACTGCCTCGCTGGTATCTAATTCTTGCTGTAGACTCATGACTCTTTGTCGTAATTCAGTTATAGCCAAGTCCACATCCTTCTTCTCTTTTTGGACTTCCTGCAGCTGTTTCTCTAGCCGATCGAGTTTCTCTTCTCTATCGGCGAGTGTACGATGGTCTCTCACGTATTTATCTAATTGCACTCTACAATGTATGAAAAGGGACTGTACTAACAATCGCAATCATTTTATTGTCGTATACATATACGGTCGACGTATATAGTCGCTTACCTCAATCCACTTATTTCATTCTTTAATACAGCGTTGTCTTGTTCCTTAACTCTACTCTCCTGCTCCATTTGTTCTCTTAACAAAGTGACTTCATAGCGTAACGTCTCCTCCTTCTCCTGCGCAACCTCTTGAGCCACTTTGGCTGTAATTAAGTCCTCGCGCACTTTCAGAAGGCTTATATGCAGTTCCTCAACAGTGTTTGGCATGTTGATACTCTCACTTTGAAGCTGCTGCGAATGTTTACTATGTTTACCCACAAGATTCTCATTCTCCATCTGAAGCCTGTAAAATTTTGAGCAAAGCTCTATCAATAATACAATATTATAACGCTATCTTGGCTGAAGTAATATTTTTTGCAATAAGTTTTTAATTAAATTTATAGCCATTTGTGGTCGAATAACATTTATCCAATATCAACTAACTCTCTTATTTCTATACATGTAATTTAATTTTATGTATACGACACCACTCGGCAAACGACAGGAAAGGATTATCTTACGCAGTGAGATGTCTCTGTACTTCCTCTCTGCCCCGTGTCAATTTACTAAGTTCCTCCGACACGCTCCTCTGCATTTGTTCGAAGGTTTTCTTTAACTCTAACAAATTTTGCTGCGCCGTCTGCGAGGTGACGGTGAGCTCCGCAACTTTGATTTTGTGCTCTTCCTTCTTCTCGTTCCACTTCTCCTCCATCTCTTTGCGAAACTCCACCTCCTTGGCCAGATCCTCCTTTTGAGCTTGCAGCATACGTTGGAAGTCCAACAGCTGCTTCTCCAAATCCTTGGCAGTCGCTTCTACTTTAACTAATTGCGCCTCGTAGTTTGCGCACATATCACACGACGGCTCGAAGGAACCGGGTTCCTGCTGCCGCCTCTTTAACAGAACTTCCTTGTACTTTTGCAACTCGTCGTCGGTCGACCTCAGTTTCTCCTTTAAAGCTTTGATCTCCTCCTCGAGCGGCACAACCAACGAACGTAAGACTTCCGCGTCTTCCTGCGCCTATGAAATCACACAGTTTTTATCGCGGCAAAAAATACCACAAATATTATCATTGCTGTGAGGCAAGCGTCGGCGTTAGTATGTTCAACGAGAGACGTTAGTATTGCTTAAACGCTGCGAAAGATATTCACCTATTTACACAAAGGGTTACAGAATGTGGCATGCGACTTTAGAGTTACGTACATATTTTTTTACCTTCCGCATGCTCTCCTCCAAATTGTCGGGGCCCAGAGACAGGGAGTCCGCACCCAGCTGCGACACCACTTTCCTAGCTATTGTCTTTACCGTCGACAGCGAGATCTGCGGCCCGTCCATCGGCGGGTCGCGCGGCAACTGCGTCTTCAGCAGCGCGTTCTCCTCCTGGAGCTTGGAAAGAGCCAGCTGCAGCTTGGACACCTCGCCGACGAGCTGCTTCCTCGAGCAGGAGGACTCCTCCACGGTCTCATGTATGACTTGCTGCAAGGAGGCGATCTCCTCCTGCGCCTTCCTCTTCTCTATCATTATGTCGTTCTGTACCTTGAGATCCGCGACGACTAGCTGGCTCTTGGCTTCGTCCAGCTCGTTTTTCAGTCTCAGATTTTCCTTCTGCAGGCCCACGTTTTCCTCGAGCCTCCGTTTCAATTCCTCTACAAAACAACACATTCGATTCTCGACCCGGTTTAACCCGCCGAGGAGCCGCCCACGGCCTGAAACTCGCGTGCAACGGCTACGTACCCTCTTTCTGTAGAAACAACTCCTTCATCTTGGCCCTTTGTACATTAAACTCCTCTCGCATCTTAACGTTCTCCGACTCCAATCGGCTGATCTTCGCCCGTGGATCCTCTGAATCGTAACAGACACTCTATTAATCAAATTAAACCGCGAAACAGGCTTGGAGAGCTTTGGCTCTCTCGATCATCGCGCGTTTCGTTTTCGTTTTTTTGGTGTGTTTTTTTCATGCTTTCTCAGCGCGTCGACGCCAATGACACCGACAAGAATCGAAAGCAAGGGACTAATAAAAAGCCTCGACGAACGTACCGTTTCCGTTCGCTTTGACCGCCCGATGATCGTCCTGGTTCTCCATCGTTCGGTCACTTTGCGCGGACGAGGGCGACAATTTTGCCGGGCTGGGTCACTGCCACGGACGCGAACTCTGAGAGCATATCTCGGAGCTCAACCGGGACTGGTAGCCGCCTCTCGACGACGACGATGGCGACGACGACGACGGCGACGACATGCCGCTGGCCAGGCGGTGTGTCACTGGCTCATAGCGACTCGAGCGAGATCAGCGCGCGGACACGATGACTCGCTCGAGGACGAAGATCACGGACGTCGGGTCACGGAGGCGAGAAGCGAGATCGACCTCGCTTGGCGTCCCCCGATGATTCCGCTAACGCTGGCTAACGATGCAACTCGCCGTAACGATACGTCCCCGCTGCTTATATATAATCGGCGAGATTCCGCTCCTCCCGGCTGCACCCTCCGCGTACGCGAGAACCCGCGTCCTTCTCCCTTCGCGACCGAGAATATCACACCCAGTCGAATTATACCCGTCTACCTCGCGGGGTGCAGGGAGTGCAGAGAGTGCGGCCGTGACGGTACTACTTCTTCTTCTTCTTCTTTCCTATCTTCTTCTTCCTCCGGTTGTTTGGCACCTGTACGGGAATTCTGTAACTTGCAATCGATGCTTTTCGGTATCGCTAACTAGCGACAGCCAATGGCGAGGACGATCTTCGAAAGAGACGCAGATTTTCATTGGTTGTTCCCAGTT